TGCTGAACGAAAATGAAGATGTAAGTGCAGACCTATAAACACGTAAAGGCTTTTTCTGTTTAATTCATATATCAGGTCCCAAAAACTAATAGGCGAAAGATATGCTCCTCATGGATTGCTGATTTCAGTGATTGGCTAATTAAAAAGGAAACTGCTGCAGGTGATGAAGAACTTTTTTGCAAGGTATGCAATGCCTTTCTTAAAGTGAGTTCCGGCAAATCAGATTTAATAAGCCACAAGAATACCCAAACGCATAAAACCAGATCAATTTGTATTACGAATAGTCAAACCACTATTGCGGAGCAGTTCAGAAATAACACTAGAGAAACGAGACTGGTACAAACCTTGTAACTTCAGTTAAGTGCATTTATAGCGGAACATAGCCTGCCCTTCTCCTGCATGGACCATTTGTCACTGTTTTTAAAAAAATCCATTCCGGATTCAAAAATTGCTCAACAAATTTCCTGCGCTCGAACAAAAACGACAAACCTTGTCAAAAATGTATTGGGCCGTACCCAATTTGAATATTTATGCCAGCTTTTACGTAAAAAAAAGTTTTCGCTGTGTATCGACGAGTCGACCGATATATCCAACAAGGAATCATTGTGCTTAGTGGCTAGGGTTGCAATAGATTTTTAAATTAAACACTTCTTTTTTGGATTAATTGAAGTAGGAAACTGTGATTCACGAAGCATATGTGAAAACATTGTACAATATTTCGAAAAAAAAAATATTTGTTATAAAACTAACTTAATTGGATTTGCTGCGGATGGTGCACCGAATATGACAGGCAAAATCATTCTGCTGCTAAACTGTTAAAAGATGACGTTCCAGATTTATTTATTATGAAATGCATATGTCACTCAATTGCACTTTGTTCATCATATTCGTGCCTTAAGCTTCCATCCGGCGTAGAGTCTTTAGTACGAGATGTGTACAACTACATTGCAAATAGCCCAAAGCGAAATGCGCAATTCATAAAAATTGCTTCAATTTTAGAATTCAAACCAAAAAAAATTTTACATCCCGCTCAAACTAGATGGCTATATTTAGAAGCTGTGGTGAATCGTGTTCTTGAGCTGTACGAACCGTTAAAAATATATTTTGCATTTGCGTCCAATGTCGACCATATAGATTTAAGTTTTTGAAGTATATTCTTCACATCATAAATAACGTTAATAAAATATTTCAAAGCTCAAGCTCCCAAATACCCGGAATGCATGAGGAAATGTTACGGTTATTCCTTAAAATGTTTGGATAATTTCATTCAACCACGATATTTAAATTCAAATCGTATTAATGAACTTGAATTTGAAAATAGAGCAAACATGTTAAATGAGGAGAACGTATACTTAGGGGTTTATGTATCAAAAAAAATTGCTGATAGCAAATTATCTCCTCTTGAATTAAAAGAAATCACCAACAATTGCATTGCTTTTTACATAGAGTTTTGCAAACAAATAAAATTCAGATTTGATTTTAACGATATAACTTTAAAAGAACTGTCTTTTATGAACCCCGGCAAGATTTTAAATAAAAATATCACTTCGTTACAAAACATAATAAACCGATTTCCAAATTTAATTTCTCAAGCTGACATGCAGAACTTCGATGATGAGTTTAGAGAGTTACGCCACTTAAATTTTGATGAACATTTTAACATTTGCTTAACATTAATTGCGAAGACTTTTGGGCTACAATATCTAAAATTACACGCGCGAACACTGAATATGTATTTCCCACGTTGTCTTAGTTTGTATCAGATTTGTTGTGCCTTCCCAGTTCATCCGCAAATGTTGAACGCATATTCTCAAAAGTGAATTTAAATAAAACTAAATACAGGAATAGACTGGAGAGTGGAACTCTAGAGGGTATTTTATTTACCCAAGACTACCTATCACTTAATAAATGCTTCTGTTATGAACTGAAAATCTATCCTAATATCGCAAAAACCATGAACCATATGTACGTATTTTGATTTCAGTCTTGTAAATTTATACACGCCTTATTTTGCTTATTATACATATGTATGTATTTAAAAAAATAACAAAATGGAAAAAGACGATTTTTCATTAAAAATTACGATTTTTTCTCCCCCAATTGACGATGCATGGAGCTATGGAGCACTTTTCCAGCCTGCTACTTTATAGCTGAAATACAATGCCGGCGAACGGCGAACTCACCACAGCGAAATTCGCGCTGTCAAAATTAGAACACCCGGAAGCATATGAAATTGAACACAGCCAAAGCGAAATGCGAAGTTCGCTTGGCGGCGTTTCATGGCGATAGATTTATTTCTATCGCCCTGCTGGGCGATGACAGCTGTGCGTGCCAAAGGTGGCCGTATTTGTTTTTTGCTTTCAAAGTTTTAAAAGAAAACAACCTAAACACGATTTTTTTTTGTTGTTTGAAAAATATAGTTGTGGATTCGTTAAATCTGGCTTGAAACAAATTATTTATAATAATCTTTCTTTGTTTTACATTTATATTTGTTATCATTTCCTCATTTCTAAATATGGTTTAGTTTTTTCTAAATATGGTCACCCAAATTATAAAGGCGACCAAATGGGATCAGCTGTTTTCGCTACCGCTCTAATTCTGTTTAAGTAGGCGAAATAGCTGGGCGAACGGTGAACGACAGCATCGCCCAATTCGGCGAAGTTTGCCGTTCGCCGGTATTGTATTTCAAGCATAACATTTTACCGTATTGCCTTTCGATCGCCGAATGATGACTTGTCTATGTTGCGTTTCTTCTTATAGTCTTAAAAATGAATATTGATACAAAGGTTAAGTTCAGAATATTGATACACAGGATAAGTTCAATTGAATGAGTTCATTTACATGATTGGTTATGAAAGTTAAAGTATGGCCACTAGGTGTCGCTAATAACTTAAATCTATACTAGGGTGCTCGTTACACATTAGGATAAAGTGCAAGTTTCAACAGTCTAAAAGTAACGTTGACTTTTTATAATTTTTTTGCTGGCGGTGTCACGCATTTTCTTCCATACAAAGTATGTTCGACAATTTGTTTATATGGAAGAAAATGCCAAGCATTGTTTAAAAAATTCACAAAAATCAACGGTATTTTGTAACTGCATGAAACTTGCACTTTATCCTACTTTAATTTAATGGGCTATAATATATATGCGTACCTCAAATTTTTTTAAAAATGCTGAGTGAAAAGTTTGAAATTTTAGCAAATTTTTTTGCATTTATAGGTAGACTTTTATAAAAAAAGTTAAATATTAAATAAATAAAATAAATATAGACTAAACTGGTGTCGGCCGCTGTGGTGTAGTGGTAAGCAGTGCACCCTTCTACTCCGCAACGCCTGGGTTCAGTCCCTGGTCAAAGCAGCATCGCAAAAAATATAGAAAAAAGGTTTTTTCTTAACAGCGGTCATCCCTCGGCAGGCAATGGCCAACCTCCGAGTGTATTTCTGCCATGAAAAACAGCTTCTCATAAAAATACAATCGCCGTTCGCAGTCGGCGTAAAACTGTAGGTCCCTCCGCTTTATGTGACAACATCAAGGCGCACACCACAAATCGGAGGAGAAGCTCGGCCAAACACTAACATATGTGTAAGCGCCAATCTATTATTATTATTATTGTTATTAAACTGGTTGAAATAAAGCGATTCTTTTATTTCTGCCACTAGTATTATGAACTCCTTTCAGCCACACAATACATATCGTACACCGTCTTCAAAAGAGCTACAACTCAAAATTTGACATTTTTGAGATTATGCGCTAAAAATGTACGCAGAGCTTTTATTTACCTTTCAGCAAAATCTAGAAAAAATTTTTGTTATAATTTGTTAAAAAAAAACCTAAGGTAAAGTAGTCCTTGCCCATATGATTATCATGTGCTAAGAAATAGTTTTTCGCATTTTCTGACAAACGTATTTTTTTGAGTTGTGACTTTTGAAGACGGTGTGCGACATGTTGACTTAAGTTTTCTTTGCATCGAGCTTTTTTCGACATGCTTTATCAGATATATAAACGCTAAAGTATTGTTAAGTGCCTATAAATTTAATTACTGTCTTTTGTTATATTACTTTTGAAATATTTTTCAACTTAAATAATAAAGTAGATTTCAAACTCATT